TACTTTTCTCTTGAATATAATGAGTGTGAGAGTTGCTGGCTGGGTTCCTACCAGGACCAGGAGGGTCAGCTGGAGTGTAAGTCCTGTCCTGAAGGAACCTCCACAGCCTACCTGCACTCCCGCAGCATCGCTGAGTGCAAAGGTACAAAACATGCACATGAACAGAAAGACGTCTGTCTTTTTGTGCTCGGATTTAAATGTTATTTTTCATATATGGGATTTTTTTTCTGTTTCATTTGGCTGGTGACGTGGTGATATGCATATATTTTCAGGGCAGTGTAAGCCCGGTAGTCACTCTCGAAATGGGTTGGAGATCTGTGAGTCATGCCCCCTGGGTCACTTCCAGCCTTCTTTTGGAGCCAGAAAGTGTGAGGTCTGTCCCGATGAGACTTCCACAGTCACCAGAGGAGCCGTGGATGAGACAGAGTGTGGAGGTGATATAGTTTGACAGGCATAAAGTACACAACCCTCATGTCTTGCTAACTTAATTTATTTCCACTCTGGCGAGACCTAATCATTCCTGAGAAGAAAACCAATATTTTCCCAGCTTCTAATCAAAAACATATTTGTTGGAATTTGGCACTAATGTCCCATTATATCAAAAAAATTAATTCCTACTTGGAAAAATTAGATAGTTGCCCTTTAAAGTTGGATGGAATAATCTAGAAACTCAAAAGTTATGTTCCCAGGTTTCCAAGTTAAAATACATAAATAATATACAACCTTTCAGACTTGGAGCTGTTAGGTGTTTTCCAACCAGCAAATGCTGCTTGTTTCAGATGTTTTTGGGTGATCCTGCCACTTCACCTGCTCCTCTAATCCTCGAATGTTTCTTTTTCTATTTTTTCCTGCGCCCCTCTTTCGATTTATGGACTCTCCTGGACAGTCCCCTGTTCAGCAGGTCATTTCTCCCGCACCGGTCTGGTTCCCTGTTACCCCTGTCCCAGAGATTACTACCAGCCTGAACATGGCCGCTCTTACTGCCTCTCCTGTCCCTTCTATGGGACCACCACAATTACAGGGGCCACCACCATACAGCACTGTTCCAGTAAGTGTGCACGACTGCTAGTCTTGTCTGGGTGAAATATTCACGCAACACTCTGATACAAACACTTCAGTCCTGATTTGATGTTTTATTTTGGGATCTGATAAAAACATTGAGGTTGGATTGAAGGTTGTGAATTTCATTACCATTAGTTCACAACATTAATGTGACTTTTAAAACACCCGTTCACGACTCGTTAATGTGACTTTTAAAACACCCGTTCACGACTCGTTAATGTGACTTTTGGATAAGTCAGGTCCAGGCACAAGCTTGTCAAAGGGATGAAGTTTATTGTTAATGTGTTAATTAAATTTGCTGCCCAGTTTGTCTCACTCTTAGCTCCAGTTTTGATGTAAGTCTGATGTTGGCAGCCGCTGCCTCTGTTCACATGTCAGATTTATATGTCAGTGTCGTTTCTGCTTTTCTGAGTTGGCATGTGAATTAATTTATGTTAGACATCTGGAGAACATGCCAAGTGAAGTCAGCAGAGAGTGAAAATACAAGAAACTGCTGCGCGTCTGTGTAAGACCGTGCTGCCACCGCTGCAGTTGTGTGCTGTCTGATTTGTGGTGTGACAGCTCGGTCCAACTTGAAACACGATTACTGCACAAGATCAGGGGAAATGGAAATAATTTGGCTTTTATTGCTCGGCGGCAGAATGGAAATGAAAAACACTGTGTCTGAAGGGTGGGAATGAACAGAGGTTTGGACACGCTGCCAGAGTTGAATAAGAATAGTTTTTGTTCAGCTGGATCTCAAACGTCTGCCAGTCTGGTAGCAAAGGGAAAGATCCTCGCTGTGTTTTTCCAACTTGTCTTTGCTTACACTGTCTGTGTTTTCTCTGGGTGTCATGGTCAGGCTTTGGCTCCAGCTTTCTTCCAAAGGAGGAGAGCGTCACTGCAGCTCCCGAGGTGGAGGTCATTGATGAATACCAATCCAGCAGTCAGGTTTGCCTTTGTCTTTTCTCAAAGTCCCACACTTTACCATTAAAAAAGCCCTGAATACC